GCAATAACCCACAGCTGCTGGTTATACAGTGGGTGGCTACAGCCACCTCTGGAGAGCAATTCTGGACTCTGGCCAGGATATTAATTAAGCAAGCCCTTACCACCAAGGTCCAGGAAATCCCTACCATTAGGAGTCCTATGAAATGCAAGGGCCTCCAGAGGGCCAGGTATACTCCCTGGACCTATTTGTTCAGAGGTCATGAGGGGCTTTAGGAGAGATGAAACATAAATATGCGATTTTTTTAACTTTTTATTTCCTAAACTTCCTAGGCCATCTAGGACAGAAGAGTTCCTACATTAGTTTGATTATCCAGATTTTCAGTTTCACTCCTTACCTAAACAAAATGTAGTGTCAAATCAGTAAGTGCATGAAAAAAGTGTCCAGTCTTAAATTCCATAGTAAGGCTATGAGATGCACTTTCTCTTCTAGTTTATTGACAATGGTAAGAAAAAATCAACATAAACTGACCACCCAGTGCTAAAGATGCTCTGATGACAATGCCTTGCCTCCCTGTAATGGTGCGGTTGTACATTAGTAGAACTTTTTGTAAGGAAAAGTGATAAAGTGGTAATATGAACAAATATTTTGACCTACTAATTCATCTTCTAGAAATTTATTCCAAGAAGTAGATAAGCGTTCCAAAGTCAACATTAAAAAGTTATTTATGATGTTATTAATAATACAAAATATTTATAAACAACCCAAATATCTACAAACAATACTACTTAATAAAATCATGGCACTGGACAGTATAATCCTGGTAGTCACTTAAAAGCATGATATGACCCTAGAGCCAAAACATAGAACTTTCTCTAGGTTGCTCAGGGAAAAGTTTCTGTCCATTAACCTGTTCAGTCATATAATGCATGTGCAGGTACTGCACAGTAAGACACCTAGATGAATGTGACAAAAACTGTTGCTCACTAAAGGTTTTTTCTGGGTGGTGAGCAGGTGACATCTTTTTTTTATATATATATTATTTGAATTTTCACAATGGACATATAATTTTTATAAGTAGGAAACCACCTGTTTTTACTGATCAAAAGAAAACATCTAGAGGGTATATATATTTCCTGAAGAAATGGCAGAGTTAAAAGCAGAATAATGACTGACTTTCAGATGAGAAATGTGGATGGAACCTGCTTGCCAGACGTGGCACAAAAAGATGATTCCTAATCCTAGAGAAGGCAGAGAAGACCCTAGACTGTGCTCCAGGGCCAGACCTTGGGTTCAAATGTTAGCTCTACTAGTTACCAAGTGAGCAACTTGGAACAAATTACTTAACCTTCTTCATCATGGTTTCTCCACTTATAAAATGGGAGACTGATACACCTGCCTCTAAGAGTGTCACAAGCAAGAGTGTCACAATGCCTGACACTTAATCAACATCCACCAGACTTTAGTGCTGATGAAAACCAGCTCCAGACAATTGTGGCCTGCAAGAGTTAACATTCTCAGAATGAAGTGCTAAGGAACAGTTAAAGAGAAGGAGGGGGCAAAGAATTAGGAAAGGAAATCCATGAGAATAGACATAGAGATATTTAAGCTCTCTCCTAAGAGGGCAAAGGGTATGAGCCTCACAGTTTCAGGCACCTGACCATCTCAAATCTCCACTGTGCACTCTGCTAGAGAAAGGGTCATTTTGAAGGTTAAACACCAAATGCTAATATAGCAGTTACTAACAGTAAGTTTTCAATGCACATTTGCTACTGCTAATAAGAATAATTACTACTGACTATGGGACCCACTAGTGAGCTCCCTGTCACTAGAGTCTCCAAGCCGGTTTAATTACTTGATTAATTCTTGAGGAGGAAGATGCAGAAAGGACTTCCTCATGGAATAAGGGGATATACTACTGGATCCTTCTAGACTTAAAAATCCTAAGCAAAATCTCTGAAATATAGAACTGATTTCCAAATGCAGTTGCTTGGAAAGATGTGCAAAGCAACCAGAACCCTAGCACCAGCAGAGTCACCTCCTCGGAGAGTTACCTGATGATACAGCTCTCAGAGGCCAGCAGCGATTTCTAGACAGAGAAGCTAAGTGGGAAGTGGTTCCTCCAACTCTGCTCAACAGTGGCTCTACCTGCTTTGGAAAATCTGCTGATGGTTGTTCATCCGCCATTTGGGCTTAGTTATGATCTCTACTGAAAGCTATAGACCCTCTCCCCAGAAATATACACAAGCATATACTCTGGCATCAACAACCAAGAAGCTTGGCTGCAGATGATTATGGCAATAATAATAGCAATAATGGAAACACACTGACTGCTCATTGCCTGCTGGGCTCTGAGTATACACTGTCTTACTGACTACTCATCAGACCTGTGAATCTGTACCATGAAAGTCATCCCCATTTTACAAATGAAAAAAAGAAAAACAAAACACCAAGTCCTTCAGCCAGTAAGGTACAGGGTTTGAACCCATTTCTAAGGCACCCTCAGAATGTGAGAAACACCTAGTTATAGCGACTGAGGGCAACTTGGAAACTCATCAGCATCTGAGATGCATCCTTGTCTCTTTCAGACCTACCACACACTCCCAAACCCCTGCTGGGTTAGTCCTCAGAACCTTGCAAGGCAGTTGGGAGCAAAGAAATACAAAATAGATGTGGGCATTGTGTAGCACATTCCTGCTGAAAGCAGAAGACTGGGAGACAGGGGTGGGTGTTTGCTGTGTTGGTTAAGATAGCACTTGGCGGCTGGCGCGGCAGCTCACTAGGCTAATCCTCCACCTAGCGGCGCCGGCACACCGGGTTCTAGTCCCGGTCGGAGCGCCAGATTCTGTCCCGGTTGCCCCTCTTCCAGGCCAGCCCTCTGCTGTGGCCAGGGAGTGCAGTGGAGGATGGCCCAGGTGCTTGGGCCCTGCACCCCATGGGAGACCAGGAAAAGCACCTGGCTCCTGGCTCCTGCCATCGGATCAGCGCGGTGCGCCGGCCGCATCGCGCTGGCCGCGGCGGCCATTGGAGGGTGAACCAACGGCAAAGGAAGACCTTTCTCTCTGTCTCTCTCTCTCTCACTGTCCACTCTGCCTGTCAAAAAAAAAAAAAAAAGATAGCACTTGGGATGCCTCATCCCATATCACAGTGCCTGGGTTCAAGTACTGGCCCTGCTTCTGATTCTATCTTCCTGCCAAAGTGCAACCACCGTGCAAGAGCAGCAGGTAAGGGCTCAGTGGGTGGGTCCTTGCCATCCATGTACCATCCATGTAGGAGACCTGGATTGCAGTCTGGGCTCTTTGGCTTTGGAATGGCACAGCCCCAACTATTACAGGCATTTGGGGAGTGAGCCAGCAGATGAGATTGTTCTTTCATATAAATAAATAAATGTTAAAAAGACTGAGAGACAAAGCTTAGGGTATACCCACTGAATGGTATTGCAAATGGCAGGGTGGAGGATGTGACTAACAATTCCCATTCTTTTTTGGTACAAAGGATCCTTACTAGAGAAGCATGGCTTTGAGTCTGTATGATAAGGCTGGATCCTGCAGCCAAATACTCTCTCAAATAAGTCCAAATACCTAGGGACTACTGTATCATTCTTATTTTCTTTTAAAACCCTTGTTCAAATGAGGTGGGCCAGGGCAGTTAGGATCCCTCTGACGTGTAGCAAATCCTTTGTTAAGCTTTGCCATTGCAAGACCAAGTTCCCTGTATCTACTGGATATCTTTAAACCTGTACTCAAGTCATTAATATCATCTGTCCACATACCAGGCAGGTCTCAAGGGGACAGAGTCAAAACCTCATGGCTGAGAACATGCATTTTGGAAGTACAGGCTCTTGGGTTCAAATTTCAGCTTCTCCATTGAGTATTTATACTCTTAAAGCTTCAGTTTCCTCATCAATCTAAGTGGTATAATGAGACCTCATAGATTACTTGTAAAGACTAAAGGAGATAATATGATACTAGAAAGGCAGTGTGGTGTAGGGTTAAGAACACAGAGTCTTGGCTCAGGCCGATTGGGTGTAGATTTTGGCTTTTTACCAGGTATATGTCCTTAAGAAAGCTACTCAACCTTTCTGGGCCTCAGCTTCTCCAACTGTAAAATGGGGACAATGATTGCATCCTCTTTTGTGGAACTGTATAATGAGTGAAAGTGTTACAGTAGGAAAGTGCTTAGAACAGCACCTGTCACATTAGTGAGTACTAGGTAAATGCGGGTTGCTATGATTAATAGCTGTGAAGCCCACAGCACAGTAAAAATAAGTGTTCAATAAATGGCAGCTATTGTTGCTACAAGGTATATGTTCCTCAGAGAAGACCATGCACATTAATCTCCCAAAAAGCAATAGAAAAAATGAAGACATTAGGGGAAAATTCTGTCTCTAAGGAAGCTTGTAGTCATCAAAGAGAATCCACTGGTGCTGGTGCCCTGGCAGGATACTCAACCCTCTTCCCTCCCTGTGCCCAGGCTCTCCTTTGTTTCCAAAGGACCTGCCCTTTGTCCAGCCACCCACTCTTTGAACAAAGGTTCACTGAGCACCTGCAGGGAGCTGGAAGAAGGGCTAGGGCTACCCAAGCAGTGGAAGAGATCACTCCAGCCCCTGAGCTCCTGCATAAGAGAAGGGAGCACATCAAACAAATGTGAACACAAACGACTGTTTCATGTTGGCTACAATTTGTGTTGTGATGGATGAGATGAGAATGTACAATAGGACATCAGATGTGGTCTAGCACCAGGGATGTCTACGAGAGGAAAGTCATTCTAAAGCCTCCCCATGGAAGTGACATTTAAGCTGGGACTTCACAGAGGAACAGGAGTTGGGTGGATGATGCCTGGGAGGGGAGGGGGAAAGGCTGAAGACAGACAGCTATTTTGTTCCAAGTTCCTGTACCCACAAGATGCTTGGCTCATTAGGTGAGCTGGGACAGGCAGTGTGGTCGATTTATTCCCAGGCCCTCCATTCAACAATACTCCGAGAAGAGGCAAGAATTTGGAGAGAAACCCGGGTCTGCCAGATCCATGTTCTCAAGGGCGACTGTTGTCTCTTTCCCTTTCAGGCACCACTTGCTTGCTTGTAAGGACTGCCTGGTCTCAGACCATGTGAATGCTGTGGCTCTGGGCTCAGCATCCCCCAAGCTGCAGGCATGCCTCACTTGGCCCACGTGGGAACTTCAGCCAAGACACCACGACGGGGCTCTGACTTCTGAATGCCCTCTGATGCCTCGCTCTTGTCCTGGTCACACCCGACTAAGCCTGTCAGGCTATTTAGGAAGATAAGTTCCCCTCACTGAAGGAGAGGGAAATAGCATGCAAGAAAACAATGGCCCCCAAGAAGGAAGCTCTGGCTGATATAGAATGGGGGGTTCCCTTAGGGGCGCTAGGCATCATCAAAGAAGCAGATCCCTGGGTCATTTATTTCTCCGCCAATGTACTTGCTATGGCAAGAAGATGTGTTTAAGTTTCTTGTAGGTTTACGTTGGCAATTGATGCTGCGGGAAAGGAAGCCGTATGTTCTAGACGTAGCAGATTTCTTTTGGAATTCACACATTGTGAGTCTGGCGCTATCCCCCTAAATGGTACTTTTGTTGTCTTTTTGTTCAAGACAGCAAGCTTCTTCCAGGATCAGAACTGCCTGACGGCCTCCCCTGATTAACAGTCTACCAGCTCTCTGGGTAGATCAGATGTTTAATAGTTAGCCTAACTCATTGTTTATCTATGTAGCAGTTATGACTGCGATGAAATAATATTTTAACTGCAGGGGAAGCATTACGGATTGCTCCTAAGTAGCCTCCACAGGCTGGGAATGGCCGGCAGGGTTTCCTACTCTAAGAGAAGAGCACGAATCCATCCGGGCCGGCAGTTCTTCATGTCTGAGATGCCATCATTAGATGCTGCTCCAAAGACCTAAGGGAGATGTGCCAAAGACAAGTACATGGTCCCATCCCTTCCCACTGAGGCTCAATGGCCCAGCAAAATATGAAAGTGAGACCTGTGCTTCTAAAGCGTAACAGCCTGGAGTCAGTGGAGTTTGTGAAACAACCTCACCACCGTCGGAGCAAATCCCAGCAGGTGAGATTCAAGGAAGATGGGACCACTAAGAATCCAACTGGCCTAGCCGAGGTCGAAGTCCAAACTCCTGAGGACCCAGCTGTGATGGGGAGGACACAGACAGCCAGGCACCATCACCCCCCCACCTACTCGCTCTCCTTCCCCAGGCCCCAGAAGGCAGGGGGCTTTCGGAACATGGCGATCCAGACCTCTCCCAGTCTCAGGAAGCATTTCCCAGTTTTCAAAAGGAAGAAGCTCACAGCCAGCAAGTCTCTGGTGGAAATGCCAACAGCGTCCCAAAGTGCCATCCAGGTCAACGGCAACCTCTCTGAACAGGATATTGTGTCTCCTGATCTTGCCTACCTAAGGCTGGCTCAGCATCTTGAGGATGGGCCTCAAAGAGTCAAGATGTCCCATCCCTTTCTCCCTAGAGTGTCCAAGGTGCAAAGCAATGGGCCTGTTACCATATGCTTGGAAGGAGGTACTTGGAGGGCCTCCGAGAAAGCAACAGCTGCTATTCAGGTCCCAGATGATATTTATCACAGTCCTTCCTTCAGCCCAGACAGGTCAGCTGGAATGAGCAACACCATACCCACTTTGGTTGACATGTGTCCAAGTGATGGGAGAAGGATGCTGCCATCGGATTCCGAAAGATCCCCCTCCTGCATAAATGCCACCAGCGGTGCCAATCACACATCAGGCACAGGAAAACTTCAACCTGAATTGCTTTTGCCCAAAGACAACTCTGATGACAAAGACCTTGGCTCACTGTCCTATCAGTCAAAGGAAACGTGCATTCGCTCCCCACCACGAACTCACAGCTCCCCTTCACCAGGCTCCCACAGCCAGCCAGGCCATCCAGCAAGAGCCCCCGACTGTCCTTCATCCAGTAACAGTCAGCAGGACCCAGGGTCACTCAAAACTAACAGTGCACCCAAATCTGCACCCATGTGTCAGGAGCAGATGGCAAAAAACCCCACCGAGTCAGACACCCCGGTGTTTGAAAACTGTCCGGGAAGTGATCACCCCCCACCCTCTCTTCCAAGGAACGCGGCCAAACTTCAGACCAACAGGGAGATTAGTGACATTAATCAAATTCACCTGGCAAGGGGTGAACTCTGCGACCTCCAAGGCCGTCTACAATCCGTGGAGGAATCTCTGCACTCGAACCAAGAGAAAATTAAAGTCCTTTTGAATGTAATTCAAGACTTGGAGAAAGCCCGAGCTCTCACCGAAGGGTAAGGTGAATTTCTCTCTATTAAAACCAACTGAGTGAATTTATTTACCAGGACAGGGGCAGAGAAAGAGCACTGGTTTCCATTAGTAAAATGTCTCCAAATGTGTGAGGTCCTGTTCCGTGCCAGATCATAACGGATGACCTGCTTTTGCTATGATTGGGTTTCATTTAATTCCAGGCTTTAGTGGATGTGGCAGGGGAGGGGTTTCCACTGCAATTTGTTTTTGTCTCCAGGTGTGAACAGACTACAGAAAGGGAGCTGAGGCAGCAGGATCAAAAATGAGTTTTATAAACATGAAAGTCTAAATGAATAAACAATGGGGAACATGATAGCAGGCAGATGCTTCCTCTACCCCATCCTCTTAGTGAGTTCTGCATTTGCCCGCTATTTTAGTTCTGTGTGCATTTATCACAAAGGACCTGAAGTAGCCACTGAGCTTGTTGTTAACCTTCCCCTCTACTGACCACTTGGGCCACTGTTGACTACCTAACAGCAACTGAAATGAGATGATCATGCAAAGGGAAGAGACATCACAAAATGCTTTCCTGGGTGACTCAGCATCAGTCTGGGGAGGAGGAGGGCGTGAGTTGTTTGAGTGAGGAATGTTCATCCTTCCAGAAAGTGCTCTCCAAAAACTGAGAGGAAGCAAGGGCGAAAGCTCATCAAAAAGGCTAGAAGACAGAAATAATTAACTGGCATTTGCTGTTCAGAACCAGAAATGCATTATGAGAGGGAGGCACTGCGGGGATGCAGAGAAATTCACTGAACAAAGGGTCAAGAGTTCTGATAATCTCCCTTCTACTCACTTGCAAAATCCCTCATCTCATAGCATTGTGGTCAGCATGAAAAAACCCTCCAACTTGCAAGTGTTTAAATATGCATGAAGCCCTCTAGAAATGTGACATCCTGTTGTCATGACTCTCAGGAGGCTTTATTTGTAGTGGGCAGGGCTCCGTGAATGCTGTGCTGTGGGGACTAAGGGACAAGCCGGTAGAGTGCATGTGTACCATGTGGCTTGTGCCCCTGGATTTATCCAGCAAATGCTCTATCTTCCAGGCGCAACTTTTATCGAACGGGCCAAGATCTCAACAATTGCAGTACCTGCCAGAACACGGCGTGCATCATATACAGGTACTTGGACACTGTCGAGGCAGAGGGTCCCCAGAACACGCTAATAAACTCTGAAATGCAGACAGTCAAGGCAGAGGCAAAGACAGGAGGCCTTTGGATACCTGAGACTTAAAAGACAAGCTGTTTTTGCAATGGTAACATCTGGTTCTAAGGCAGGGATCACTCTGCTTCCTTACAAGGTCCATGAGCAGCTCGTTTTGATCTAATCATCCCTACACGCATTGAACACTAAGTGCAGGCTTCATGGTAAGTCCTACCTGCTGGTTTGCATCATTGCACAATTACATTTTACAAGGGGCATGTTTTGATCCTCAGGGAAGTTAATCCACTGGGCCAACCACATGTAGAGCATTTTCCCAGAACAGAAGGGGCCAGACTCGGGGCTCACATGCAGATCTTTCTGACCCCAAATCCTGATCGTAATTATGTTATGACATTGCTTCTTCCTCAACAGTAGCTCTCCCACACCCAGTACCTACTACATCTTAAAAACTGTGCTGGGCATTTTGTGTTCATTTTAAGTATACAATTTCCTTCTGGAATAAGGTGAGGTTGTTGAGAAAAAGTTGATTTTTTTTTTTTTGTAAGTGATAAAAGGGACACAGCATATAGTGGTAAACTTGCAGTCAAAAGATCCATGGTTTTAAGTTTAGTTTTATTTTTGTTTTTGAATTTGATAGCCATCAGCTGGTTTACTGCCCAAAGCCAGAAGCTGGGAACTCAATCCAGAACTCCCATATGGGTGGCAGAAACTCTGTTATTTGATCCATCACTGCTTCTTCCCAGGGTTTGGGAACCAGAAATTGAACCAAAGCCCTCTGATATCAGGCACGGTTGTCTTCACTGCAAGGCTAAACACTCGCTCCTCCAAGATCTGTGTTCTAACCTTCAAGTCTCATGACAGCTACCATAACATGGGCTCAATATCTTTATCCATAGAGTGGGAACAACGATCACTGTTCAGAGTTGCCTTGAGGAGCAAATGAGATAGTATTGGTGAATACCTTTTGTAACTTCAAACCCCTGTACAAATCCAAGGGCTCATTACTGTTATTACGGGAAGGATCAATGCCCCCATAGTTGGAAGCCCATTTTCGTTGGCACAGTGAAAAGTGGTCAAAAGCAGTCATTTCAGCTGATGACATCTAATTTTGTTTGACAAAAATGTACCATTTTGCTTTCTCTATTGCTTTTCGCTCTTCAATAAAAATGGCAGTGCAGAGCCTGAGCAAAGTACAGCCCAATTGGGTTGCCTATGTCTTCTTTAAAGAATTTCTGATCCTCTCTGGCAGAATCCTGAAATTTCACCCTAATAAGGGACCAGGTACCTGCAAGTTAGGAGGTGCTTATACTTAGACAGGGTCATGGGCATTTTCTCTTTGAAAGTGTCAGCTCTTCATATGGAGTCTTCACCAAAGATACAGGACTGCACACAGAAAATGCCTTTCACCTTAATGTGAAGTCCCTCCTCAGAAAAGTGGATCTTGGCCAATGCCTGCAGCATTGGAAAGCGGAAGTAGGAAGTCTTATCAATTCTTGCCTTTTTGCTCCTTTATTTATGTCTGTGACCTTAAGTGAATTTTCTAATCACCAGGAGAATAAAAATTATCAGATGTCTAGACAGCTAGGGAGAACAAAAAACTATTCATCATAAACAAGAAAAATTAATTTGAACTAAACTCCATTTGCATTTTGGATAGACTCTCATCTCTTCTGCAGCCAGAGGATGTATCTTCTATTACCTTCAAATGATTTTTTAATTTGGCTTATGGAAGTAAAAAGGGCAGGGGTTACTTCTTAGTCTGCTGTGAGTTGCATGACCTGGCCTCAGGCAAGTCATTTCTGGACTCCGAGTTCCCTCATCTGAGCACTGAGAGCCTTTATGTAGATGTTCCCAAAGGCCTGTTCTAGTTCTGACATTCTAAGAGTCTAAGCTGAATGAAAAGCAATGATATCTGGCTAAACTATGACCTTCCAACAAGTCTGAAAATGTTTTCGTTTTTCTAGAACTCACTTAAACATCCCAAGTAAACATTCTAAATGGAGATACATCCCCCAGACAGGTTAGCCCACCATCGTGCACTCCTCCCTTTCCAGAAGAACACGCATTGTCTGCATGACTCCTTCATTGCCATTCAAAGCCAGACTGTTCTCCCAGACAGCAACTATTTCCTTGTATCCAAAGCACAGTGAAAGAACGGGCAATTAATTTGATGAAAGCAAAGAGATCAGAACAACATTCCTGTCATAGTAACAGGGGGAAGATGAGAGTTGTCATTTTTTTTTTTAACATTTCAAATGACTTCAAACTTGCGCTGTGTCCTGGAAAGTCAGATCTTAGAAGCTAATGAATAAGTGATGTGGAATACTCATCCCCAGGCCTTGTTAAGCTTCAGTCTCTCTCCACAGTGATGGATGGGCCCAGTGCACGTCACTGTACATAAAGCACACGGGCACATGATGGCTTGCTCACTGGGTCTCCTTCTCCGGAGAGATTGCTGCCAAGTTAGCAACACATAAGGTTTTCTAAGTGGTGTTTCCCACAGGCCCCATCAGCCCAGGGCTATGGCTCTGCTGCTTGTTTGTATCAAGACACGTGGGGCCAACACCGAGGCCCAGCAATTCCCTGCGTGGCTCTCTGGGGTTTCCAGCGTTTTCCATAGACCAGTGAGAAAGGACTCCTTTGAAGTTTGTTTTTTTGGTTTTCCATTTTGTTTTGTTTAACTGCTATAGACTGCAAGGGACAGGGAGTGCAGATTTTGGTCAAAACCAGAGGTGCTCCCAGGTTGTTAGGTCCCCATTCACTGTTCTTCCTTCTCCTTAGCATGAATCCTGGGAAGATGGGGTGAGTTGAGTGAATGCCATCAGTGATAACCCAGATTAAATAACACTGAATGACTCACTGAGAAAATTATTCTCTTTTCAAATGTATCTTAAGCCTCTGAACACCTAGAAGGGGAAATCTGAGTTTGCTGCTACAATGTCTTTAAAACCTTTCTAATGCTTGCTTACCGTATTTCTTCGTGAAGACAGAATGGGTTTCAGGTTCACACCTTTGGCAAGTAACAATACCTAGCTGGAATGTGATGATTTTTAATTTTTTATGGGAATTTTCAACTTTTAAAATTAATCCTCTTACATATTTTTTGGAAACTGATGTGGGTCTCCATGCTCAAAAGTGTGATTGCCTGCTCTGTATAGTTTTTATTATAAAGCTTAAAAGGTGAATTAGAGGAAGAAGGTGAAGTAAATAATTGTGCAGATGTGCTGGGGAACCTCACTAAAACTACAAAGGTGGTGAACGAGTGGTGAAGTTTGGAAAATGGCGCCCGCCAGAACTGTCTTCTTTTCCTCTTCTTCTCAAGGGCGTGAGGCGTCTCCAGCCCCCTCCCTCCTCCTCCTTCTTTCAGCCTGTTCTCTGTTCCTCCAGCCATATCTCTCTGCACTTGATCTTCCATTCACTCTAAAAATAGAGTCAGCAGAGCCTCTTTGGAGGACTTTGACTACACGGATCATGCATTTCTTTTCTGGAAAAAGCAGTTTGATTTTGTTGTAAAATGTTCCCAGGTTTGAAGGAGAAATAATGGAAAGTCTTTCCCAGAAGAATTTTTCATCTAACACCCAAGCATGTTACTTAGGGAATGGAGATACAGGCGAGACACCACAAGCTCAGCATTGTCGAGGGGTGAGGGAGGGGTTGCCCACGTAAACTTGAAAGGCGCTAGGGAGCAGAGAAAGAAACAGAAGAGCTGTTCACTGTCTGGGGTTCAACCAAATCAGTCGTTCCTCTCCTCATGCCTAGCTTCTTTCTTTTGCTCCAACTGTTCTCACAGTTTTTGTTTCTGTGGCACCCACATCGCTCTACCTCAGTCTCAAGGTACACGCACATTTATATAATTTCCCATTAATTCAGCACTTTTCCACTTAATTCTCTACATCCAAAAACACACTTGTGATTTCTCTGCACAAAATTAGCTCTCTTCCTGCATTTGTTATTTTCCCCAACAACATTGACCATGAGATGACTCCAGTAAGAACCCACTGGCACACTGACTTCTTCTCCTTCGCAACACACATCATATTGGCTGCTGATTCTACGTGCTAAATCCAGCCCCTTCACTCCAACTCCTCTGCCTCTGGTTCAACAAAGACCCTCATCATTTGTGTCTTGAATGTTAATTGGTTTTTTTGGTCACTGTTCCCTTCTACCCTATCCCATGTAATCCTTCATGTGGTCTTGTCACTTCCCTGTTAAACAATCCTGTCCTGGTTCCTGTTGTCTCCTTTCACTTCTCAAGGCCCCTTGAATGCCCACCTTTTTACCTGCGGAGTCCCCAGCTGCTATCCAGGCACAGGGAACTATCCAGCTGGAAGCTGCTCAAGCCTCAGTGCCTTTGCATAAATTCCCTCCCTTTTCTGGAATGTCTTTTCTGAACTGCATTATGTGGACACTGCCTACTCTTACCAGGAAAACCAGTTCCCTGGACAACCTTCTACGCTTTCTGAGGGAGGACTCTTGGCCATTCACATTCCTCTACCATTGATCCTGCTGCATCCTAATGCAGGATTTATGAGTTTCTTTCCTCCAGGAAATGGTCAGCATCTCAAAGTCATGGGCCAGCATCTAATATGTAGTTAATGCTCTAGCGATTCTTGTCAAAGAAAGGAACCAGTATATTGACTGGAGGAGGAATGAAAAGCAGAGGAGACGTGAGAGAACTGTTAGGATGCCCCCAAAGTAAAGTTATTGTAACCGTTTTTGTGCATTCCTACCATTGGGTGAGAACAGAGAGGGCCTTGATTAGTTAAATGTTCTTATCATGGAAAGGCAGTTTCCATGGCACACATCCTCAGTAGGTACTTTTGAACTGAATCAAATCATGACTGAATGTAATCCATGGAATTTCAATTTTAAAATACATTCAACAAAATGGAACCTAATCAATTCTTCCTCTGCTGACTCAGGCAGCATATTGAACTTTTCACAGGTCATTGAGATC